AGTACTAATTTTCCAATCCCCTATTTGTATATTGAAATACTGAGTAGCTGCAAGGTGCAATAAGTGAAAAAGAAAAATGTATCCCAAAGGTTATTTGGATATGTTATCTGCTTGATCTACCTCAATTACAAAAAATACAGGGAAAGATGGGTGCTTTTTCAAAGCAGTACATGAGGATCAGATGTGCGGCCGCTGTTACTGTAAATGGACTGTGTAAAGCTAAATCGAACTCACTGTTAGAAGAACATAACTCTTGATAGCAGTATCTAATGCCATCATTTCTCTATAAATAAAGATGGCCAACTACTTATCTTATTTACACCAATATATGCACAGAATAATGCTTCTGACTTTGGGCAGTCACTCTGGAATATACTTGGAAGCAGATTGTACACCCAAATGTTTTCCAAACAGATTTTTATCTCGAAGCTTGAGACGAGATTCCGTACAATGAGAGAATATCTTCAGATGGGAACACTGATATTTAAATAAAATTATGAAGATCCACTAAGGAAAAAAAAAAAAATCACGAGGTTACTTCTGCTCCTGTTGATGTTAATGGCTACCCTCCCATGCTATTCAAGAGGAACAAGATGAGAGTGGCTCACATGGTCTGATATAAGGAACTGATATTTGACAGAAAGTTGTCAAATTTTCAGGTTTCTAACTAGCTATTTGGAAACAGTAAATAGCTGAAAATCAAATGCAGGGAGACAGCTAGGGATGTATTTTCAAAGTGGCACACAGGGGTCAAGCAGTGCCTTAAAAATTTGGCCTTTTGGTTTCCTAATGAAAATCCATGCACATTTTGCCAAGTGAAAAATATCCATTTGCATGTGTTTTGTGTGAATTTATATTGCAGCAGTAAGCTTCCCAGAAGATTCTGTGTGCCCATACCATGCCCAGCCCAGGGCAAGCAGAGCTCTCGCTACGACACAGGATGAGGCTGGGACAAGCCTACCTGCTCTGTGACATCTGCCTCTTGTGGGCTTCAGTTTGAAGGGATAGAGAGCGATTTCTGATGTGATTTAGGTACAGTAGAGACTGGAACCGAATGTGCAAGAACTTTGAGGTGAGCAGAACAATACCAGAGGCGAGCAGAGCTTGCTGGACAGTGACCATAGCACTGGAATCAACAACTTGAAGAGATGCAACTGGGACAGGTTAAGTAAGAGACCTGGGCAAGTAAGCTTGAGAGGGTGACTAAGAGAGAGGACAGGGATAGAAAGATGGTGGAGCCTAAAACAGAACCCAGTTTATCTTTCCCTTCCATTTGCCCAGTATTTGGCTCACAGAGCACTCCAAACCTCTATAGTACAGCCATTTTCCAACCATTGTGAACTGCCAAAACATAAACATTTCTACATAGTCTTTATGAAAGAGCAAAAAATACTATTATTATTTCACACAATCATGTATCTTGGGTTTTGTTTTAATTACTTACCTAACCTTACATGTAAGTAAAATTAGAGCATCTAGGAATTAAGAAGAAAATCTAGCTGAAGCATTATGACACAAACCTCTCGATTGTATCACCTTTGCAGCAGCACAGTGAAACCAGCGGAAGTGCTGTGTTGGATTTTGAGCACAATTTTCAGCACAGTCTGATTCCATACTTAGTAAAAGATCTAATATGGAAATCTACCAGTTAATTGTGCTATCATTTGCAAAGCAAGTTATTCACAGTGGCTGGTATATTTTCACCCTACGGCTTCGACCCTTTGGATTTTATGCCTCTCTCTTTTTTTATACATTCATATTGTAAAGTCTTTCATTTTAACATATATTTGCCTTCCCATTTTCACTTATTTTCCTGTACCTTACTTTGCCCGCCATTTTTACTAATTTAATTTACAAGGATTCCCTCAAGAATGGTCTTATGTCCCTGGCAGACAGCTGACAGGGGTATTTTGATCAAGACAGATTGTGCTTTCCAGATGCACTCCCTTATGACTAAATCCAACTTCCTTTCATAACACATTCACATTTATCATGTACACAAATAAGAACCCTAAACTACAGTCTAAAACGCGGGCCTCTCTCTGTGACATTTCCTTGTAGCTGTTGTCAGCTTAATTTCAGCAATGCTAGAACAGAACTCCAGCGGTCTCATGCTACTTCTTTCCTGAATTATTGGTACTATTGCCACTCTGCCTGTCAGTCAGGCCCATAACTTCAGAGGTCATTTTTCTCTCCAGGATATCATAACCAGTCTATGTGCTCATCTTCTTCACTCTTTTTGAACAGCAGGCTTCAAGTAGTATTTACCTATCACTTCATAGCTAAAAATCTAAGGTAGTGTCTCAACATTTTCTATTTTATTGTAATAAATATCTCTTTCCTGGGTTTAACTAATGCAATCTTTCTCTAGCAAATCAACTAGCAAATCAGCATCCGCAATGCTATTGTTAAGATAATTTTGCTAGTCCTTTTGACCCACTTACTCCACCTAGCATCTTACAGTTGATTCAAGTACGTGAAACACAAGCTGCCTATCTTTGCTATCAACACGGTTCACAGCTCAGTTCCATTCTACCTGTTTTCTCTTATTCTTTACTGATGTCACCCCCCATTTCTGATCTGCCAAGGATGCCCATCTCCTTGTTTGATTTATTAAATTTCCAAACAAGTCAGTTTATTTACTTCTGATCAGCTCCTACAAGCATTTATATTGCTCTTCAAAACCTACTTGATTCTGACAGAGATTTTGCTCTGCAAAATGTTCTTTGCTATCTGCTCCTTGCAGTTCAGGTGAGAATGTGTGGCTGTCAGAGGAAAGACTCATCTCCAGGAAGTGGAACTTGACAATACTGGCATCTGTAGTGGCTCATGCAGACTGGCAGAGACACTACTGGGGTGCTGAACTCCCTTGAACATATTCTGGAATGACCTGTGCGTGCTGTCTTTTTATTTTGAGAGAAAAAATCTAGCGCAAAATTGTCGGTTTCACTAGGAACAACAACAAACAGCTGGAAAATATACTAACAAGCATATTTTATTTAGGTCACCAACAGGTTATCAAAGAACTAAACAAGACACCTCAGGTATCATATTAGAATGAGTATAAAACATCCAAATACAATAAAAATATGTAATATGAATGAAACATACAGTGTTGATAATGACTGGAACCTGACTGTGCTGTTAAGGGATGGAAAACTAATTAACCAATTAGAAAAGTCTAATAGAATAGAAGATACTGATGACTTGTAGAAAAGTCAAGTCTGACACACTGCATACCTAAGTAAGTAAACAAATATAAAGAGAGCTGTGTCTTGCAATTATTTAGATTTGTGCTCTTGTAGTCTGACCCTCCTGATTTTTGTCTGGTTAGTAGTACACGCTCCTAGCTTTGCTATTTGTCATGCTGCTAGCATGAGACATACAGGCTTGATTCTAGTCTGTAATTTAAAGTGATGGCATTAATCAGGATACAAACTGGAGGAAGTTTCTGCATGGGTCGGTTAATATTGGCTAACCGGTAAGTGGCCAAGCCTGGAAATCATGTATACAAAAATGCAACAATATTTTTAGGATAATATGTCTATTATGAAACAGAAAAGAAAGAAGTGAAGTGAATTTTCCATGATGAATTATAATGACCCATTTGGTACTGAAACAAAGCTGAATTTTGCATAAGCATAGGTCTTACTTTTTACTTTCTTGGAAAAATTCACAGCAAACATACTACGTAGTAAGTGAACTGAAACTATCCCAGAGAAAGATTTCTGCCTTATGTTTGGCATCAGCTATCCTCCCTGTCCTTCCCCTTTTGAAAGGGTTTATTATGAAACTTAAGATTCATGTTTCTCAAATGGAGTTACTGCTTCTTTTGTCTTTGTATCACCTTTCCTGGGCTGAGAAGAACAATGATCTGAATATTAATTTTTACAAGTATTTATTTTGGCAGCAGTGGCAGCCGAATTTACCCGCTCACTGCCCAGTGAAATATGATTATTTTGAAGCTGGATCAGTTCCCTGATGTAATTCAGCATACAAATGCACCAAGAGTTATGCCAGTACTACAAGGCAGGAGGGCAGTGGCAGAAACTAGGGGCCTGAGTGGAAACTGTTTAAGAAAGCAAACACCGAAGAAATGTGCATGGATCCACTGCCTCTGATTTTCATATCACAGCTCCATAGTCTTATATTCTTGTAGACATTTGTGCTTATGCAAAATCAATGTAAAAGGCTACCTAACTGGAATAGCAGTGTTTTAGACCTTATTGTCAGAAGTGGAAATGAGCACTTGAGCTACACGGCAGTGTGGAATCAGGGCTCAATGTAGTTTGGTAATACACAGCACGCACAGACAACAGCAGTCTAAATGGTATTACTGACTTCCCTTCGTGATTTGCTAAAGCTGATTCAATCCAGTAGCTGTATTAGCACAAGTCAGGGCAGCACTGACAAAGAGATGGGAAGAGGTGACAGACTTATGAGGAAAGGATGGAAAAAGCTTCAGCCAGTATAGCTACACACTGGCAAATCTTGGTCTGGTTACTTGAAGTATTAGATTAAAATCAGGTAGTAGATTTGCTTCACTTGGCTTCTATCCCACGATTCCGATGGTCACCTATGTCCTTAAAGCAAGAATACCTGATCCTGTGAGTCAGCTTCTGAACTGCATTGATGTGTACAAAATGGGTGCTGCTGACAGAAACTTCCATTTGGAAGGAGAAAAGGAGACAGGAAACCACAAAACAGCTCCGTCAGAAGTGGAAGAGAAGCTTTTCCTATCATTGTCAGATCCGTTTTAGGAAGTTGTTGCTTTCCCCATCTTTTGTTGCTACCAAAACCGTTACTCCATGACTCTGATCTTTACTTCCTTGTTTTCTGGTGATAACCATAAGAAATTTGGACTTTACTCATGAATGGAAAATATCACTGTAAGAAAAATCTACGGAAGTTACAACATGTTAGAAAACAGATATCTTTATATTTAAAATCACATATTAAAACAAAATAAGCTATGTAAGATGAACTGAAACTTAATATACCTGCAACGTCTTAGCTGATTCATTCAAGAAATCCTCCACGCTCTGACTTTCAGGGTTAAAATTGTTAAGCTGTTGGACTATTATTGCAATATGTTTTCCAATATGTTTTCCATGGCTGACCATCTTCACCATGGCGAATCCTATAAATATAGTAAATCATTAATTTTTCATGCCTCCTTCAGCTGTAGCATAATGTATGTTGATAGGCTTGTAGAGAAGATATACTGCAGTAATGTAGAAGAGAACATTTAGGTCAAGCTTTCAAAATCACAGTTATTCGGAACAGCTAACATGAGAAATGAGAATACAGTACAAACATCAATAAAACAGAAGACATAATTACATATTTCTTATTCTGCAGATGTCTCAAAAGATCCTTAGGATGATACCTAAAATGGTTTCTGTATCAGGTTATTTGATGAAATATAATGAAAGATAAACTAGAGCAAAGCATGAATTTTTGCATGTGTGCTGTGCAGGTCCTATTTAATACATTGTTCTTCCCAGTGAGATGCAACTGAAAGCAAAATTTTAGTTGTAAATCTTGTCACATGTTGCTATTAGCGACCCATTTTTCCAAAATAACAAAAGAGTAGGAGCAGAGAGGAATCAAGGAAGCACTGAGACAGTGTTGGTCAGCAAGCTGGGCAGTGATCGCAACACATCAGTAGTCTAGGCTACCGTCGTGGTTTTTGAAGGCACAGCAGTCGGGTACTTTTTATGCTTAATGCTTTGTTTGTGAAATCCCTGGATTATACCTATATGGAATGATGTCTTACTCATATGCATGAGAGTTTGCAGAACTGGCTACCTCGAATTTAATGTTCATGTGACAAGAAGTATAATTCATTTGTTCATACATATGCACATGTTGTTGTGCACGAAAGACCAATGATAGTAATGGTCAGGGCTGAAAGTCATTAATCCGGTTTAGCAATGGGAAAAAATGAGCACAGAAGTCATTTTCCATAGTGAAAATAAAAATATGTTTTTGAAAATAGTTCTTGCGTTTCACATATCATCATATTCTGATGTTAGAAAAGAATGCTTGATCAAGAGGATTCATTCCCACTGTGGTAAAGGTAATTCATTTATTGTTTTAAAAGGATATAATGACATTTCCAGATACAATGTTTTTGTACTCTGCCTTTCAGCACTATCATATTCAATAATAATTAAATAATAATAATAATTAAAAAATGGAATAAACAGCACTTTAAATTACTAATCTCAAACACCTGAAAAAAAAGAGTTTGTCTGGGATTATGTTCGACATAAGCATTTAGTTACCTGGTATGATCAAAACAAAATGTCCAATTAAAAAAAAAAAGTCCAGCAAAACAGGGCTAGATCATGACAAGGGATGTCAAATAAAAAAAAAAGGTGCTACTGAATCTCTGTCACAGGGGGAATCACTGTTTGTCCACTCCTCTGAGATTCATGATCTGTTTCTCAGTATGTGCCAAGGTTCTTACACTCACAAGGGATTCTGGAGATTTGGGAAAGAGAAATACCTCTGCACTCATTCAGGCTAAATCATCATTCAGGCTCCAACAGCTCTCTCAGTGACAAATATCTTTTCTTCTGGCATAGCAAAAATGAGTTCGAGATCTGATGCTCTGTACATGCTGATATTCACCCCTCCCCTCCAAATACCAATCACTAAAACCAAAAACTGGAATATGGAAACTAAGACACAGTTGAGAACTAACACCTTGAGAACTCTGGACATACAGAGGTTCTTAAGAAAAAGAGCTTAATTTGTGATTGTATTTAAACAAACTACTATTATTATCATCAATATTTTAAAACATACACAACAGGAATAAAATGCTTTCCGTTATGACATGCACCCTTTTTTCCACACAGCCATTTAGGAAAATATTCTAATTGCTACATATAAAAATGATATAAATTTATACTATGTACAAAATAGTAGAAATTTTCTTCCATTATCAGAGACAGAATTTCAGTTAAAGGAGGTAAAAACCTGGCTCAGCCCCATTTTACAGTGGAGCTTGGAGATACTTTGAATGCAATTACATAGGATAAGACTGGCCACAATCGTAGGGACTAGTTTTGATGACCTGAAAGATTCCTTCAGGTTTTACATTTGGTCCTATACTCCCAGCCTAGAAAGACACTGATTGCATTTCCCCTGGTGAAACCTGCCCTCCTTCAGGAGAGGGCTGAGCTAAGCCTCCCAGCAAAATTCAGTCAGATCGAGTAGCTACTGCTCAAAATGGAAGAGGTGTTTCTCTCAGCTGTGTGCTAGACGAAGAGCCACCGAGCACGGGGTACAGTTGTCCCACCGGTGACATCCCGCCATTCTCGTTCCTCATCCTGGACTGTCCTGCATCGCTGACTGTCGCCTGGGCATAGCAGAGAGCCGTTCCGGGCGCAGTTCCTCTTTGCAGCAGATTCCTCCATTCAGGCAGCAAAACATCAGATGGAAATCATTCACCCTGAGCAGCCAGGGCCTGGATCTTGCGTTCATTTTTAATTTGCATGTATTTCGATGTTCTGCATACCTACTAGAAGTATTTTCTTTGACATGGTATTTTGTGTGTGTGTAAATATCTTGCGGAACTTCACCATTAAATACTCAGTGTACAAAACCTTCTACAACAAGTAAGTTGTATTAAATTTACGAGACAGGGGAGCCAAAGGACACCAAGGCTGGCGACTTGCCCAGAATCACAACAGTTAATGCAAACTCGGGGGACACAGCCCAACGCTCCTGCGCTACAGCAGAACACAGGCCCCGTTCGGGGATCTTTCCGACTGTCTTCACAGACACCTAAGACACGAGTGAGGTGGTTCTGAGCCTGCCCAGGGCACCGGGCCCTTTCACACACCGAGCACGTCCCCCGTTTTTGTTTCCGAAGGCCCGACAACACCCCGCGCCCCCGGGAGGCCGC